ATAAATCATTTCACAACCATTGGACAAGAAACTGTGCCAGTGAGTTAAGCATGCTTATTTTATCTAGTCTTCCTCATGCTCTACATAACAGGCACTACTGCCTGTATTTGCAGACAAGCAAACAGTTATAGAGATGTTAAAATCTCAGATTGACCAAGATCACAAATAAGAAATGAAAGAGGATTTGAACTTAAAACCAACCACCTTCACAGCCTGGGCTTTTGTCACTTTGTTGTTCTCCAACAAAGAAAGTAACTCTTGAAGTCTATTTCCTACGAGGACACTAGAACCCAAAGGCTAGTAGTGTTAGAGGAATACTTAAGCTGAGATTTAGTTTTCACTCAGCCGGACTGAAGTTCCTACTGTGAGTAGGGAGCACTCTGGTTGGCTAATTTAACCATGCTGTAATTGGATCGGAGTGTCCCCCAAAGTCATATGCTAAAGGCTCAGTCACCAGCCTGAGGTGTTCTTAGAAGTGGTAGAACCCTCAGGAAATGGAGCTTAGTGGAAAGAAGTTAGGTCATTGGGGCTCTGGTGGTTTGAATGAAAAATGTCCCCCATAGACTCAAGCATTTGAACACTTGGTCCCCAGTTTCTGGTGCTGTTTGGGCAGACTCAGGAGGTGTGACCTTGCTGGAGGAAGTATGTCACTGGGGGTGGGCTTTGAGAGTTTATACCCTCACCGCACTTCCAGTTTGCTCTCTCTGCTTTGTGTTTGTGGTTGAGCATGTGACCTCTCAGCTTCTGCTCTAGCCGTCTGCTGTCATGCTTTCCCCACCATTATGGACTCTTCCTCTGGAGCCAAAATAAACTCTTCCTTACATAAGTCACATTTGGCCATGGTAATTTTATCACAGCAACAGAAAATTACATAATACTGGGGGCATGTCTTTGTAGAGAATATTGGGACCCTGGTGCTCCCCCCTTCCTAGCTGCCAAGATATAAGCAGCTCTGCTCCACCATATGCCCTCTACCATGATGCTCTGCCTTGCCAGAGGACCAAAGGGACCTGACCCACCAAGCATTCGTGAGCCAAATAAATCACTATCTATAGTAGTCAGGGTTCTCTAAAGGAACAGAACTGACAACTTATATATATATGGATTTATTAGATTGGCTTACAGGATAGAGTTCGAGTAGTCCAACAATGGCTGTGCCACACTGGAGAGGCTGAGAATCCAGTAGTTACTCAGTCCATGAGACTGGATGTCTCAGCAGTCCCAATCTAGGGCTGAAGGCCTGAAGGATTCCTGGAGATCTGTTAGTCTTCAGTTTTACACTGCAATCTGAAGTTGGTTCTACCATCAGTAGAGGAATGCCACAGCAAGAAGATGAACTCGTCAGTAAAAGAGAAGGCAAGCAGGAAAAAAGTGAAAGCTCCCTTCTGCCATGACCTTATATATAGGCTGCCATCAGAAGGTAATGCCCACATTTAGGGTGGGTCTTCCTGCTTCAAATAATCTGATCCAGAAAGTCTCTCTCATTTCAGTTAATCCCAGATCCAAATTGACAACCAAGATTAGCCATCACATCCCCCCTCCTTTTAAGTTGTGTGTGTCAGGGATTTCATCACAGGGATATGCTGTTGACTGACAGACTGCATGTCAGTAAGAGAGGTTGTCCAAGGTGAAGCAAAGCCTATCCATGCCAGCCAGCCAGATTTTTTTTTTTCTTTTCTTTTTAAGACACAGTATCTTGCTATGCTGGTCAGGCTGGTCCTGAACTAACTTCTGGGCTCAAGCAATCCTCTTGCCTCAGCCTCCCAAGTAGCTGGGACTAGGAGTGTAATGCTACAGCCAGTTCAGAATCTTTTTTCTTTCTCTCTCTCTCTTCCTTCTTTCCTTCCTTCCTTCTCTTGTTTTTTTTTTTTTTTTTTTTTTTTTTGGTCTTTTTGAGACAGGGTCTCCCTGTAGTCCCAGCTGGCCAGGAACTCTCTCTGTAGACCAGGCAGGTTTGGAACTCACAGAGATCCGCCTGTCTCTGCCTCCAGGAGTGCTGGCATTAAAGGTGTGCGCCACCACATCTGGCTCAGAATCTTTTATTATGAGTCCTTTGTTGTTGTTGAGCAAGACCTGGAGAAGGAAGGAAAGTAAAGGCAGAAGAGAGAAGGGAAGGGTGGGGAGGAGAGGGAAACAGAAAAGGGGGGGGGGGAAGAGGACAGGATGAGCAGGGAGGGATAGGGAGGAAGTGGAGAGTTCTCCATAAATGGGCTGGCTTCTTTCTCAGCCCAGCCTGGGGCTCCTTCTGAAAACAAGCCTGTGGGTGTGGGGACCTTTCCATATTTTGGGATGGCAATTCCTGTCCTTAGAACAAAATGTTCTCTGGGAGCACTTGTGATGAGCCTTCAGGATAGAGGGAACAGAAGTGCTGTTTGTCTTGGCTTTCTTTTTCAAAGGAACATGACAAGAGTGCATTTAGTACAGAAAATGAAGTGTCTGCTGACCACTGCTTGGGTCTGACAAAATTAAATTTCCCTTATCAGAAGGCAGTTGAATCCAGGCATGGTGTCTCAAGTTCTGCTCTGGATCTGGGGACAATGGCAAGGGCTGAAGCAGACAACTTTGAGAAAGATGCTCTGTCTGCTAAGGGTTTGAAATGGCTTCCTTAGAGTTGTTGGCAGAATTAATCTAGGAGGGAATGACTTCAAATCCTGCATCGCTTTTTATGAAGGCAGAAGAACACTAGCTTCTGAAAAAATCAGAAACACCCCCAAACAGAATTAAAACCCCAAACCGGTTTTTCAGGAAGACTATGCATTTATAATTGGAAGGTTATGAAATAAAAGTGTAACTCTCTGGGACTGTGGAATAACAAACTCCTAGCCCACGTGACAAAGCCAGCTGAGAAAGCTAGAGTGGTCCTTTTGAAAAGTCCTTCAACCTAAGATATGTAGAAGAACCTCATCTCCCACTTCCCAGGAGCCCAGAGGTCTCCACAAACAGCCGAATGCTTCTTAGCTTAGGAATGGAAAGAGGAGATGAAAGAGCCAGGCTGGATCTTTACTGTCCTTGCCTCCATGGCACGCAAATGCTATAACATACATAAGGCAGGGGTGTTTGTAATTCCATTTGTAAGCATACCACATTTTCCAAAAATCTGTGTAAGTGTATGTAGTATATGTGTGTGTACATATGTGTGTCTGTGTGTGCATGTATACTTGAGTGTCTTTTCTCAGTCGCTCTCCACATTGTTTTTATTTTTTATTTTTTTTGAGACAGGGTCTCTTGCTGAACCTGGCGCTCATCCAATTGGCTAGACTGGCCAGCAAGCTCTGGGGATTTACCTGTCTCCACTTATCTCCCCAACTCTAGCACGTGGGTTACAGATGAGCATCATCATGCCTGGCTTTTACTTGGATGCTGAGGATCTGACCTTAGATTCTCATGCTTGTGAGGCAGACACTTTACTGAGTCATCTCCCTAGCCCTAAACTCCATTTGACATAACTGTTAGGGTCCAAGGTCCACTCTTGAAAATCTTGTTTCTCTCCCTATGTAGGTCATAGAAGGCCAAGATAACACCCTCCACTCATGTATAGTCAGTCCCCTCTACCCACAGATTGAAACAATTTGGGAAAAAACGTGAATACTAAAAATGTATCAGCTTTTCTCTTGTCCTTATTCCCTGCAGAATACAACAAATATTTATACAGCACTTTCATTGCACTGAGTATCTGGACTCATCTGGATAGGTATGGTAGGATCATGCAGGTTATATGTAAATACGAACTGTTTTCTACAATGGACCTGAGCATCTAAGGATGTTCATACCCCATACCCTGGGGGCCCTGGAAGCAATCCCCATGGATACAGAGGAGGTGGGTCTAATTACTCACACACAGAGCCCCACCTCCATGTTTATTCAGATGACTTTAAGTTTCTTACACCTATTGGTTCCTTTTGATAGCTGTTCATCTGCTCACTCATCTGTGTAATATAAACATCTTTTTGTTTGGAGACAACACAAAAACATCTTCCTTTTTGTTAGATCTCAAGTCTATAGCATTATTATGGACACTAACAGAAGGCTGTACTGCAGGACAGCTGAGTGTTGCCATGAAGGGCATCTGAAATTTTTGGTGCTAGTTTTGGCCCCTGTGATTGTTAACAGTCCATACCACAGAGTTTGGCTCACAGAACATGTTTAGTGAGAACTCCTTCAGTTGCTTTACGTAGGCGCACATAGAGGCCCAAGACTCTCCCCACTTGGGCATCTTGTTCTGTGGTTACCCTGTTGCCCTGGGCTAAGATGCTTGCAGACTTTAGTTAAGTCTGATGTTTCATGCTCATAGCTGTAGGCTACCACTCAGAAAACTCCCATAATGTAGCTGTTCCCTAGCTATATGTTGAAGGATCGATCCTGACCTCAGAGACAAACACCCGCTGTTCTACGAAAGGCTAAGCATGTTTCTTGATTTCCCTTTGCCTGGAGACACAAATATGGGCATAGCGTTGCCTACAGCAGTGCACTTTCCTTCTGGACACTGCCCAGCTCTTTACACTCCCTGGTCCAGGCCTGGGACTGGTTCTCCACAGGGGTACAGGCCTTGACCCTCCACAGAACCTCAGGGCCTGGTGCAGTTCTTCTCCCAGGTCTCTTAACAATGGGGCCCCGGAGGCAGTTCCTACTGGGGCCAGTCACCAACCCTGGCAGGAGTCCTGTTGCACAGAGCTGTCCACAATGATTAAAGGAAGGACTGACTGTTCATCATCCCTCCAGATTCTCCCTCTGAGCAGCAGTAGCAGCTGAGCAAGCTTGTGGAGCACCCCATGATTCTAGTCAATGTTTTCCTTCAACAGACATCACCCTAAACTGACCCAGTGGTTGGATGCTCTGAGAAAAATCCACTGGCATGATTTCCTTTTCCTTACCAAGGTTGGTACTGGAAAATCTTCCCAGCTGAGCATCTAGGAGAGAGAACACCTCCCCAAGGACCAGGCTCTCTGTGGTACCTGGTCTCCTCATTTCTCCTTGCTGATAGCTTCTGTTCCCTCCTGCAGATTCCATTGTCATTGCCTTTTGGGTGAGCCTGGCTGCTTTTGTGATGCTCCTCTTCCTCATTCTGCTCTACATGTCCTGGTCAGGCTCGCTTCAGGTGCGGTAAGTAGTGGGCTGGAGGTGGGGGTCTGGGTAGGCGCAGATATTAAAAGTAGTAACAAATGGGGCTGAAGAGACGGCTCAGTGGTTAAGAGTGGGAACTGCTCTTGTAGAGGACCTGTGTTCAGTTCCCAGCACCCATGTCAGGTGGCTCACAACAACCTGTAATTCTACCTCCAGGGAATCTAATGCCCTCTTCTGACCTCCCTGGATACCAGCACATACATGCACATACTTCCCCACCACCACCACCACATATACACAAAATTTTTAAAAGTCTTAAAAAGTAGCTTCACAGAACATCTGTACAAATGAAATAGCACTGATTCGTGCTACATGTACAGTCAAAGGCCTCATAACAACAGACTTGTATACAGGGATGGTTCCAAAAGATTGTATCTCTAATTAGGCTGTAACCATTTTAGTCTGTGTGAGAACAGCCTATGATGTTTGCCCAATGTTCTCAGAGTGCATCCCCATCATTGTCATTCACAACTGTACCTCAGAAACATGTTGGGTGAAAGACACCAAAGACAAAACATCATACATTATCTGAATCCATTTATGTGCAATACCCAGAATATGCAAATCAAGGCAGAAGGGAGACTGGTGGTCATCTAGGGCTAGAGGGCAGGTGGAAGGGAAGGGACTGCTACTGGTTTCTTTGGGAAATGATGGAGATATTTTAAATTAATGTGGTGATGTAAACCTGTGAATATACTAATAGCCACTGAATATCGCTTAAATGAGTGAATTTTGTAGTATGCAAAATATTTCAATAAAACTGTTAAATAAAGCCAGGCTGGAAAAGTGGCTCAGTGATTAAGAGTGCTTGCTCAATCATGAAGACTGGAGTTTGGATCCCAGCATCCATGTTGGTCAGTTCACAAATGCTTGTAACTCCAGCTCCAAGGGATCTAACATCCTCTTCTGGCCTCCATGGGCACCTGCACAAACGTGTACATATACACTCACAGAGACATGGGGTGAGGGTAGGGGAGAGAACCAAAACAATTCTAGGAACCAATTAAGTGCTGCTAATCAGCTTACCAGAAATACAGGACTCTCTGAGACTTCTCTGGTCACTGTCTCTTGCTCAGTGCCTGTGCCTGCTGTGTGCCTTGGTGGTTAAATTGGAGTGAACTCTGGGAGCTCTATGCAGTAAATAAAATCTAGTTCACTGGGCTGGGTAGGATGGTGCACGCCTTTAATCCCAGCACTCGGGAGGCAGAGGCAGGCGGATCTCTATGAGTTCAAGGCCAGCCTGGTCTACATAGTGAGTTCCAGGACAGCTGGGGCTACAGGGAGACCCTGTTTCAAAAA